CATAGACCATAGACCTTCTTGATAAAGTTTCTTTCCATCAAAGATATATCTTATTTCTAGGGTCCAACTAACAGAGCCTGAACTCAAAAGCTAAGAGATATTTCCCACAACCCAAAATTCAGCACAGTTGGTTGCAATTCTATTATAGTGGTACTCTTCTGCATAGCTTCTTGTAAAAAGTGTTAAGACTCTTTGAGACTCCCAAATGGGCTGCTGTTATTAGGAAGAGGAAAGGACTGCAGAGCAGCTACGAACAATTAAACACAGCCATCTTGTACACGACAGTGGTGCTTTTCCTCTCACAAAGCATCTAGCCAACATGGGGCTTCATTTGTTCAGGAAAGCTTGGATGCAGACACACAAATACACCAGTTAACCTTGTTCCCACACATCTAATTGAGTTTCAAGAGCAAAAAGCAAACTGCGTCTGTGCACAAATGAGGGATAGAGAGAAGTAAACATCAAGAGAAGCTATAGGGATCAAGCATTCAGCTATTTGATTGTGCTGTGCAGAAGATCACAGTCTGTTTATTGCCCATATTAATATGGATAATTGCATGTATGGATTTATGCAAATGGATGCATGCATAGTTTTTAACATTCATAACACTGAAACATTTTTTATAAAACTGTTGAGAGTATACTGAAGTTCCATTCTCCCCTTAATTGTTTGGAAACAGATTTGGTACTTATTACACATTTTTCTGCACTTCTAATTGTGGAGAAGTCAATCTGCAACCATGGGTTTTGCATATCTTCCACTTCATTTTCTGACATGAATGTTGATGCAATTGATTAATGACATGAATTTTCTTATGTGTGATGCTTTTACAAACATTTGCACATGGTTGCTGTATCTCCCACTTGTAACACTGCTGCAGGCAGCAGAGCAACGAGGATTCTGGTGGCAGTGGGAATTGTATGGGAGAGGAGCTGACCCCAAGCTCTCCAGAGCAACCCCCAGCCCAGCCAGCCTGAAAAATGAGGGAAATGAGGCCCTGCAACAGATGTGAATATACTGAAGCCACCGAAGCAGCTATGTGCTGACTCCAGGGTATCTTAGGGCTGTGACGGACAACAGCTTGCATGCCTCTCACTCTCACGTTTTGCCCCGCAGAGTCGTAGGGTTCAGGATTGCCTCTAGCACATTTGCAATGAGCATCTCCCCACTTTGGTTTGTCTAAGTCACATTAAACACAGTGACAGAAATGGGTGCATTTTTGGGGTGTCCCACAGCCCAAGGTGATGCTGGGCATTGCTGTTCTGGACTCCTCCTTGGGCACTGCTGTGATAGCTGTGCACCCGGACCTTTCCCACCCCCAGCTGCTAAATGCTCTGCTGTTCTCTTGCTCCATTCAGAGTGGATGCAATGGGCACCCAGCACCACGGGGAGGCCACTGGCTGACACCCAGCTGGGCAGGAACATCGTCACCAGGATTCGTTGTGGTAGTGGAAAGTATCTTTAAATTCTCCTGCTTGCGTGTATCCAAATAGAAAGCAAATTGGAGGTTTGAAAACAGACTGAACTTGACCTTGGAGTTGCAGGGATTTGCATTATAACCCACGCCTCTCTCCTCCCCCTGCCAGCCCAGCTTCCTAGGCTGCTCAGAGCACTGAACTGGAGCAGCACAGCGGCAGATTTCTCGGTTCCGTTTGGTGTTGCTTTTCTTGTGGAAATACACCGCTGCTGAACTCTGTTCACAAACAAAATTGAGAACAGATCATTTTTAGGTTTTCTTCACATCTCCATTTATCTGAAGTCAATAATTCTGATGCATCTTCACCAGGTGTTTTATGTCGAAAATTATTTGACTTCACCAAATTTTTAGTATAAGATGAGTGGGAGATTTGAAATGGAAAATTTTCCTTTCTACACTCTATGCCTTTCAGTCAGTAAGAGCAGCAAGTGAGGGAGATGATGGAACCCAATTCATCTGAGATCTGCGTCCCATCTCCGACCTTCTGCAGGAAGGATGTCCTGCACAGGCGAAAGGCCAATGGAAGGCATGTGGCCTGTGGATTCTGAACTCCAATTTCCAGAAAAATAGTGAAATGAACAGTGAGGACATTCTAAGTCCTCACCAGGAAACAAAGGGAGAAGTCAACATTGATTTCCCAGGAGCACCTCATGTCAGTTCAACCTGTTTTCTGAGGCGCAGTGTTGGACCTGATGCTGAGGAGCACTTTGACTTTGGCAGAGCTCTCCTGCTCTCTCACGGGGCATCTTCAAAACCAAGCAAGGCAAGCACCGCCCTTATGAAGCTCATACACAAGAGATGAGAAGGATTTTGGAGAGCAATGAAAAACAGTGGTGATTATCCAAACAGAAGAGCAGAAGGGCAGAACTTTGCAGCCGAGCACCCTGCATCAGTTGCAGTTCACTATTTTTATCTAAAATCTGTGTGCTGGAGGCTACTGATGTGCAGGAAATGCCAGGCTGGGGTGCTAGAAGCTACTAATAGTGATCAGGTAACACACTCAGAAATGGTTGAAATGCATTTCATTACGAGCAAATTGTAATATGAAACACTCAGGGAGCAAAAGAAACACTGCTGCCCTGCCAGCAAGGTGCTGGAGGGCAGAAGGAGCTCGGAACTAGGACGGTAGGTGAGGAAGAATGTCCTTTAAGAAATATTTAGCAGATCTGTTTAATCACAGGAAGAAAAGGGGAATAATAGTCTTGAAATACATACATGGTTTCTGTAACAGAGGTGGAATAATCTGTTCAAAGCATCTGAGATAGATAACAGCTCAAATTCCAATTTAGATGTAATCCTCAACATTGACGTTGGGATGAAAAACAGAAAGGAGCTGTGCACCACAGTCATACTCGTTTGAGTAGCTGCTGGGTCTAGATGCAGGACCAGCACACCTGGGCAGGAAGGTAGCAGGAGGGGTGCCAAGCTTTGGTGACCCCAAAGGGCCCCCAGAGGGAAGGCAGCGCCCACTGCAGGCTGTGCTCAAGTGAGCCTGGAAGCTGCTGCACCGAGCTGGGTGTTGTTGGAGGTCAGGTCAGCTCTGCTGCAACCCCAATCTGTGTTAAAAGCAGCACTCTCCCCCACAGCTCCTGAACAAGGCAGTGCCCCTGCTGCCCGGCACCAGGACAGCTGTGCTCGCCGGCCCTGCAGGAGATGGAGCGCTGCCGCCTGCGTGTGGGAGGGTGAGAGGAGATGGGAAGCGGCCTCAGGCAGCGCCCTGAGAGCAGCTCATATACATGCACATCCCGTCACAAACCTCTTCTGACAGCAGGAGTTGTTGAGCATGAAATTGTGTATGGTTTTGGAGAGGGCAGAGAGTGTGGAGAATAAAAAGGGGGAAGGTGGAGCGGTGGAAGTGATCCAGCATCGCCCATGTTGGTGATAGAAGGAAGTCAGGGGAAAACATTAGGCACAGTGGCACACGGCAGGCAGAGAGCTGATTGCAAAATTATCCATGTGCCTCTGCACCTCATTCCCATTCCTTCAGCGAATGCACAGTGCCACAGCTCACATCTAGATGAGGCGCAGATATTTAATGAAACCTACTAACAGTCCTCGGGATGTTTGTTTTAAATAGTGAATAAACCATGAAGCGAAGCTTAGCTTCCAGACTTTTTCACCCACTGTAAATTTATTTGTAAAAATCCCATTAATGTTTGGGTAACACCAGGAACGTTGGTGCTGCTATCCCAGGAGGCAGGAAGCACAGGGAACCTGGTGCTTCTGCTGGGCAGGTTGGTGTGTCTCGGAAAAGCACCTCGCTCTGCCCCAGAGATGCTTCCCAGAGATGACGGATCATCACCAGAACACAGGAACCAGAATCGGTGAGATGGGAAACAGAGGTCTCTTCTATCAATTTAAAGGACTGGGTTTAGCTCTTTGAGCTTGCTTTAAAGGCTTCCTTCCCAGTAAGAGCGTTGATCGGTGGCAGATTTGCATACTCATCCTTCACTGTATGGGGCATTTATGGCACCAACAGCTGCTGTTCTTCTGTTTAAGTAAAACAGGGAAAAAAGTTAAAGCCAGTGTTTGAGCCACGAAAGCTTTTCTTTCACTGTGAAAAACACATACATTTCCCAGAATATAATTAAAACTGTTTAATGGACACTTGTTTTTCAATAGTTCCAACTAGCAACAGATATTGGCTTTGCTAAAACATCCCACTACCCTCATTGTTTGCCAGATTTGCAGCATCAACATGAGAAGGGAAACCATGGAAAAGCTTCACTGGTTTTCAAATCCTTTTAAGGATTTCCCAGTTTAAAGAGCTCTAATGAGAGCGCTATTTTTTATTACCAGAACTGCGTCATATGTGTGCCCTACACCACAGCCCTGTGTTGGGAAGTGGGAACGAAGGGCCCACATCACCGTGAATTGGGTGGCAGTCCCAGCAAGCATCAGTCTCCCAGGGGGATGAGTTACACCTCACAGGATGATTTACCCCAAAGTGAACTTGCGTTCTGCCCATTTTCGAAAGTCCTTCTCCACTTGTTAGACACTTCTGGAAGCAGCCTATCCCAGCACTCAGATCTCAGGTTCAGCTTCGGAGAGCTCAGCTTTGTTCCAGATTTGTTGGCTGCCTGTTGTTTACGTTTTTGTGGAACAAAGATAAGGCCTCAGTTTCGCGAAAGGCTTGTGAAATACAAATAAGAACGTGGTGTTGTTATATGGCAGCACTTCAAAGCTGAGCTTCAAACCAATTCATATGGAAATGTCCAAACAAGGCAAGCTCCGATGTAGTGCTCAACCAGCTGTACCTTGCACTTAACATCATTACTGTAGAATCTCAGAACCACAGAACAGTTTTGTTAGAAGGGCCCATACATTCCTTCTCCTGTTCTGCGGGCTGGGTGACCCCACCGGCTGCCCATGGCCCATCCACAGCCTCGCCACCGCCAGGGATGGGGCACCTGCAGCTCTGCACAGCAGTGCCGGGGCCTCACTGCCTCTGGGGAAAGAACTTCACCTTCATATCTGACCTAAATCTCCCTTCTTTTAGCTTGAAGCCATTTTCCCTCGTCCTGTCTGCCAGGGTTTTAACATTACTGTGGAAAGTCTCTTTGAATTTACCGTGGCAGAGATGAGAATGGGGAGGTGGATTAACCAGAGGAGAATCCTCAGGCAGGTGTCAGCATGGGCAGCTGCGTCCCAGCACACACGAGCACCAGGGCACGAGGCACCAATGGCAGTCAGCACAGCATCACACACTGCCCACATCCCCCAGGATAGGGGCTGCCTCCCGCACCACTCACTTAGGAGCCTCTGAAGGCACAACTGAGTTTGCTGCTGGCTTTTCCCCACTTACAAAGAAATGCAATGAAGATTAACTGTGCTAAGTAATGACAGCTTAGAGGGGTTTAGCTGCCTTAAGGGACTTGTTCCGCACTCTGGAAAAGCTTCCTGGAGAGTACAGCACAAGTTTACACGTTGCTTCCCTGGTCCATCTTCAAGAGATTTTAAGATAACACTGAAATAAACAAACTTGAGATGTGGTTCAGTGATTGATCATTTAAAACAACAGACAGTATTTTCTCTCTGTACATTTTTAAAATTCCATTTGCTATTATAAATAATAGACCTCCTGCCATCTGTGAACACATGAAATCACAGACACTTCTTAAAAGCAGAATACGTCATAATAGAAAATGCTTTCATGTCTACAAAGTCTCTTTTTTTTTTAATCATTCTTCACATGTTTTGTTTTGAACATGAATAGTTGGTAAGCACGTGTTGAGAACTCAGGGCACTCCACTGCACACTGTCACTCCCTCATCAACAGCAGGACGACTTACTGAGCACATGATCTTCTTGTCTGGTAACTATGGTGATATGCAAAGCTTCCTTAGGTTGGGTACAGTCTTCTTTATCTGTGTTGGAGTCCTGACTAATAACGATTATTTTTTTTCCTAAGAAAATAAATGAAGAAGTGGAAATAGCAGTTAATAAACACCATAGCACAAACTAAAGCAGACCAACAGCTAGCTGCAACGCTTTATGTTTTCCTTTATGTATATGCATGACTTGACATTGTATTTATGCAGAAAACATTGTAGCCAAGGTCAAAATTTGAATTAAAAAAATATATATATATATACGTGAATATAGAGTAGGGTGAGGTTAGAGTGGATTTGCCAAACCAGCTCTTGAATGTGCTTACTTCTCGCTTCTGTATTTAAGCCGTATCACTTAAAGCGAGGTGGCCTCCTGCTGCTCTCCTGTGTAATGCAGTTTAGCTTTTCACAGGAACACAAGCCTCAGATAAGTGTTCTGTCACATGCATCTCACAGCCCTGGGGATTCATTTCTCATGCAGTCCTTGTGGGTTGGACTGGCTGAATTGCTGAAGAGGAGCCATCCCTATAATAATGTTGACAGTGATGATGATCAATGAACACCCAACTGGCAGCGTCACCTATGAAAGCGTCCAGAACGCATCACTTCCACACGTCTTCCATGGAAAAATGAAACTGCAACAAATTCCTGTAAGACCATGGAATCAGTAAGGTCAGAAAAGGCCTCTAGGATCACCAAGTCCAAGCAATAAAGAAAATGTTTGAAGGGATTTAATACATTTGCTGCTAACACACAACATTTATTTACCAAACACAAATGCCTGGTATCTATCTACACTGATAATGCATTTAGTTTTTCTTCCTCCCCCAAAATCCAGCATGCAGCTCTCCCTGCAGATCAGCCCCTGCCTGAGGGCTCTGCAAACTCAGGGCAGATGAAGGTACCTGGGTTGTTCCAGACTCATCCAGGAGTATACAAGAATGACAAATTGGAGATGTGCTACACAGCCACCTAGCCAAGCAGAAAGGTCGAGCCAGCGCTAGGTTGAAGAACTGGTATGCTCCCTTCATCTGTTTACTATGTATCAGGTTTATTTGGAAAAGACTTACAGATTTTCCTTTCTCCACAGCAGCTTTCAACACACAGCAAAGACTCCTGCACAGGCTCAGCCTCAGCCCTCCATCTCCAAGCCATACCAGGTCAGAGAGCTGCTACAAACCCATTTATGGGGTGGTGACCAGGCTGCCCAGCTGCAGTGAGTTACCAGGACAGGTTCACAGGGTGATCTGCTGGGAATGGGGCATTGTGATCCCTGTGGATTGATGTCAACGCTGGGTGAAGCTTCTCTCCAGCAGTACGCTCTGGAGCACATTTTTATAGTATTGAGGCTGGTGTGAGTAGGTGCAGCAGCAACTGGAACAAGAGTTTGGATGACTCAAACACAGCTGAAGGGAGGGCAGGGTGAGGTGGGGTTAATGCTGGGATGGAGGGGTGCAGGCAGCTTCTGTGGGGCTGTGCTGGCACTCGGAGCAGAGAAGAGAGAGGTATAACCACAGCAGTAATTGCTGAGGAATATCAGAAAGGGTTTGTTCACAGCATCCTCTGAGCCTCACAATAAAAAGAAATAAAAAGGACAGTAATTGGCCACAGGGGATAAAGTTAATGGTAAATACTCTAATAAAAGGAAGCAGACATGCTGCAAGAAACTCACTTACATAGCTTTTCTTCGGTGTAAGAACACTTTCCCCCACCTCTGTTTTATGTGCCAGCAACTTCTGCAATCACAGGCTACAAATGAATAGAACTCATTCCGTTGGCCTGAGCTAGAAACCATTCCTGCCCAGGTGGAGAAGTGTCAGCACTCACACCTGCACTGTGTGATGCACTGTGAGCTGATCAGAGCAGGGGCAGAGCTGGGGGCTCTGTGGGCACTGCTGAGCTGAGCTGGAGCACAGCAGGGGCTGGGGCCTATCCTGCTCTACCATGGGGTGCAGGGGTCTGAGCTGTGCCAGTTCTACAGACAACGGATGATGTTCTTCTCAGCAAATGACTCGTTTTTTGATGGATGTTTTAAAATATCTTACTGTGCACGTTTAAGTGATTTTCTGAGGTGTTATTTAATCTTCTTGCCGGCTAGCAAAGAGAATGAACTATTTGAGGCACACCAAACTAACACAGCTTACTCCGCTGCCTCTCCTGGAATGATGCAGAAAAGCAAGTCATGCCCCAGTCACTTTCGGCCACGCTCGGAATTTCACTGCTGAGTACAACGCCTAAGTAAATTTATGTTGCTATACTTGGTTGTTTCAAGCAAAGCTTAGGAAAATTGCCAGCAGAGATCTATGCTCCTGCTTTCCCTTTCTGACATTCTGTTTGGAAGAAGTGTATATATTCAACACCAAATATGTATGAAAAATCCACACAGAAAATATCAGCACAAGGCCATCAAATTAATCCAATAAAGGCTAGAACTGCAATAATAACAGTTGATTATACACTGGGAGAAATTTGTAGCACTCTATCAAATCTCCAGTGCTCAGCGTCAGGTGATGTGTAAAGCACCATACATCAAAGCTGAGCGCAGAAACCTGCCCTGCTGCAGGACTGCAGGCTATATCATAAGGAAAAGCCAACTGGAAAACGTTTATCATCCTCTTTACATCTTAAAAAGTTATTTATTACCATCATACATCATGTGGCAATTGGGGGAGAATGCTGTAATCGATGACTTTCACCTCTTTTTGCTCACTGTGTTGTGCAGGGTCACTCCTCTTGAATGCAGTAATTATTTTGAAATTATTTTCTGAATTATTTGGCTCATTTGTTCCCTTTTCAAACAAAAGTCAGTAGTGATGCTTTGCCTGGGCAGCTGCTTTTTGGAACTGAGAGGTGCAAGAATGGCACTGTGTTATCCCTCTGTTTGACTGGAATAGAAATAGCTCCCAGCCAGATTTCTGGTTTGAATACGGGGTAAATATTATATGTGTTGACTATTCATCATCTTTCATCTCAAAAGATCCTGTTCTATCTTCAATAATAAACCATATCTACAATTTAGTTGCTCTTCAGATATAGGAATGTATAGTGTGATTAACTTCAGCAAAGTCAAGGGAGTTTTGGACACCGGAATTAAGTAATGAATAGCCGTGCAATGGATAGCAAATCTGACAGAGAAAAATGGTAACTGCTAGCTGCCATAAACCTCTATACAGCATGCTAGTCATTAAGCACCTGCTTGCCTTCTTGGTTAGTGTGTGGATAATGATTTTTAGTTTTTTTAATGGTGGATTTTTAAATTCATATTATTATGTGTGGCCTATTTTCAAAACTATTATTCTTTGTGTGTCATTGAAACTGAGATTGCTGCACAGGATCTTGGTTTTGTACCAATCAAAGAAGCAAAAAATACACTTTGTATTTAAAAGACATGTTCTATAATCATTCATTTGTCCCATTAAGGGAAAATCTGCAAAAGTTCTTTGGTGCGTTAGCAATCTCTGCCAAGAAAGTAATTAAAAAAAATATCTCGTAAGATATTTACTTCAATGCTTCATCACCAACACATCATTATGCAGGAAAATGCCAAAAGTAATCGCTGCCTGTTGCCGTTGCAGTGTTAAAAGGAGCACTAAAATTACACTGTGCTCCCACTCCATTTTCAGCTCCGATTTGCACAGGTTCTTGAACCAGGCACTTTTAAGGCTCCTTTCTTCCTGCCGGAACTCCTACGAGCAGCTATTGACATTTATTGCCTTATTTTTTGCCCGATCTATTGGAAACAACTACACTATCAAATCAATAAGACATATGGTACCCATCTAAATACTAATTAAGTTGTACATGTAATAATTCCTCCAGGACTTCAGAGTTGCATCTTTTGAAATGGTAGTTGCTAAGGCATAGTGGTCAGAGTGCTGTAAAAGTAAAATTAAGAACAACAGGAAATCAAGATGCATCACCCCATGCTGTCAGTGGTCAGTCATGTCCACTAGCATTCATGGGTTGTACTTTCCACCCTTGATATTGGCATACTTTCTTGGGCTTGGGAATTGAGGAAGCCCTGGAATATCCTTGCCCAACAGTGTGCCCACTGCCATGGACCCAGAGATGGGAGCTGAGGGGCCATAGCAGGACAGGGGGGTGCTGGGTGTCCTCCCATTCCTTCCCAGCATTGGAACCCCCAGTATCCATCGGTGGAGGATGAGTTGCTCAGTCTGTGTGAACAGGAGAGCTCTGCCCCATTTCCCTCAGCTGGTTTGGATGTTGTGCCTCTCAGTTCTGGGGTGGAAGAGTACAAAGCAGCACTCATGATTGCAGTGGGCTGAAGAGAGGGAGCTCGGGGAGGAGGCACACAGCTCTGAGTTAGGAATGCACCAAGGAGCTTCAGCTGAGCAGGTAATCCTTTGTGCAGACCTAGGATGATTTAGAGAGGACAAGTATCACAGTAAAAATATGCTTGCACTGCACCCTGAATAAAGCATCATATGTTTCCTGTCATCATAATGAAAACTGTTTATAAATTCACATTTCGTTGGGGAGGGAGAGGGGAAAAAGACAAGGCTTCATTTGACAAAACCCTACACGATGAGCAGCAGAAAGAAGACATTATAACATGGCACAGCTCAGCAGGATGGACCACTGAGATGCAGGGCAAGGCTGCCTAAGCTGGGTGCTCTGCTCAGGGGGGGAGAAAAGCATCGTTGATGGGTCAGAATGATGCCTTCAGACAGCAAAAGGACGTGGTGCTGTGCCCTAATCATACACTCAATATGGGGTAAGACAACACTGGATGCTTCATATGATGTATATAATATACAGATTATATATTCTGAATTTCAAAACCCCTGTATGTGTAAAGAAATAGCAGTGTAGCACCAATACTTGCTGTATTTGTAGAGCAACGTGAACTGAATAATGGGAAGAATTTGCATCTCTCAGAATTCACAAACATAAAAGAATAAAAAATCAAATGATTGCAATCAAACATACACCTATCAAAGCTCCATGCACAAAGATTGAATAAAAACATTGACAGTGGTCGTGTTATAAATTTAATCTTTTATCCTCTCCTGTAATTGTAACCCCATGATATCCAGACCCTGGTGGAGCTGCACCATTTGCCATGTTTAATACACCTGGCAAAGAGGTGTTTCTTCCTAGCAGCAACGGAACACAGCCTTACCTCCACAACACGTTGCCCATTGGCAAGAAAATAATATTGTACCTTGATATTTCCCAATTTTGAAGGCACTCATTATATCACTTCTTGGTCCTTATTAATTGAAATGTCTTTACATTTCAGTGAATGCTGGCTAGGAAATTCCATTGGTCAAAGCTGTATAAGTAATAATCGGGATTTGGCCATGACACTTTTCTAGGACTGCCTTAAGGTGAAGGAGCGCTTGCAGACTACAGGAGGAGCAAACCAGTGACATCTGGGCTGGTAAGTGACACCCAACTGTTCCAGCAGTCAGTGCCAGGTGTATGCATGGCATCTGCTCCCTCACGCTCAGAACACAAAAGCTGTAGTTGGAAGATGTTTCTTCAACTAAAAGAGGGCAAAGTCACTGAGGCAGAAAGTCTACATCCAATTATTCACTCAGCTTTCTACCTGATGGCACACTTCCCATTTAGCTGTCTAACAGTCATAGCTGAAAGCCTACGGAAAAATGAATTCTTTTGCTTGTTAGATAATCTTTGCATAAACACCGAAGTCTCTAAAGTCACTTCCTTTTCTAAACTGAAGTAAAATGAAGCTGCACGCCAGTAACTTCCCAGCTTATGTGCAATGAGAGGGAGAACAATGCTTAGAAACTTATCCTGAAGACACTGTAGGACATGAATTCTGTGTCACCCACGGATGGAACAGTGAAAGGATATAATAGTCAACTCTGAATGTTTGGAAAGTACTACCTAAAATGTATTTTATCTTTAATTAAAGAGTTGTTGAAATAAGATAGATAGAAAAGATATTTCTTGCATTCATAGAACTAAAAATGTAATTAAGCTTAACCAATATGATATCAATGACCTAATCTCTCCTCAGAAAAATCACAGCATCCATTTGTCATACAAAAGAATAAATTTTAGAAATGATGAGAGAATGTGTTTGGATGCTGAGAGCTGCACTGAGGGCACGGAGCAGTGCAGGGGCAGAGCCCTGCAGAAGGCCTCAGCATTGAACCCAGCAATCTGCATTCACTGCACAAATGGGCAGATCGTGGCCCCTCACTTGAGAAAATACTCTCTGCAACAAGATGGCAAGGTCCCTTGTCAAAAACAGGAGGTGAAGATCAATAAATATTTAAATTAAATGAGATGTTA